GGGGGGGGCAGAGGTGGACTCTACACCACTGTTCGGGGCCGGCTCTGTCAGGGGGAGAATTTGTGTCCCTGGCAGCAGCCGGGCCTTGGTCTGTAATCGAGGGTCAGTGGTTTTTGTTGATGGTTTTTCTCAGTTTGCTCTTTTTCATTCTCTGATTCGACTGTTTGGAAAAACAATATTTTAGAAAAGGCAACACGACCTCCTCATTCTGGAGAAAGACGGGAGGTGTTGGACGCCATCAGTGACGACATGATGCTGACTAAGATGACCACCTTTGTGGCGTTGTCATTTCTGTCGTTGCTGTTGTCGTTGTCGTTGTCGTTACTGTCGTTGTTGTTGTCGTTGTTACTGTTGTATTGTTGTCGTTGTTACTGTCGTTGTTGTTGTCGTTGTTGTCGTTGTCGTCGTTGTTGTCGTTTGGTGGCGTACAGACCGACCTTGTACAAACAGAACAGCCGATCTGCTCTCGATGCCCTGGAGGTCACAGGTGACCGTTCCCTCGTTCGACCTCCGCGTGTCCTTCAGGACAAACATCCAGCCGTCGCCCTCCGACCCCGCCGTCACCTGCTGGGCGGTGATGTTGGGGTTGCTGGAGTGTAGCACGCCGTGCACCTTGGAGATGGTGAGCGCCGTCGTGCCGTTCAACAGCCACACCATGACCGTCCACTGGGGGGTGAGGGCGCTGCAGGTGAAGCGAGCCTCGTCCCCCCGCAGGACGGTGAGCGTCTGAGGGAACAGCTTCATCTGAGCTGCTGATGCTGGACATCCACAGACAGACAGACAGACAGAGAGACAGACAGAGAGACAGACAGAGAGACAGACAGAGAGACAGACAGAGAGACAGACAGAGAGACAGACAGAGAGACAGACAGACAGACAGACAGACAGACGTCACTGTGACATCAGCAGTGGTTGACTTCACTGAGTGATTAAAATACAGCCCTAAACTGTGTCAGTTTCCTCACCCTCGTTCCTGTACGACAGCAGCAGCAACAACAAATGGACGACCATGGTTTAAGGCCTGAAATGGAAGATATATATATATATATATGTATATGTATATGTGCAGTACTACAGTACTACAGTTGTACACAGGTATCAGTGCCTCTCGTCACAGTACAGACACACAGACCAAAGGTCGGTGAAGAACTCTGAGGTTTTTGAACTTCACCTTGAACAGAGATATTCATTCATTCATCGGTTGCAAGAAAAGGAAACTAAATGATGAATCTGTTCATCTGTGATCTTGGCCTAATGTACAGTTACTGTTGTGAACCGAGTCCTTTTGCTCCCAGAACAGTCACAGCTCACGGAAACAAACTGACCTTCAGTTAAATAAACATTTGTTCCAGATAAGATTTTAAACAGTCTCCAAAAAAACAGAACATTTATTTTCAATTTTCCAGCTGTAGAAAATACCAGAGCAGATAAAATAGTCTGGTGTTTTTACCTCACCTCAGATTGGCGTCTGTGCAGGTCTGTGTCACACAGTCACGACACATGTCAACAATGCTGCCGTTCCTGCCCCGTCCTGCAGCTCCTGCTCAGAGGTGTCACCCAAAAATGTGTGGTTAACCATTAGTGAAGTCAGTGGGAACTTTGTCCGTGAGCACACAGTACGACAGTACGACACAGTACGGAGATGCTTTTCATTAAGACCCGAGCCATCAGGTCCCAGGGCTCCAGCGGGTACACGCCCCCAATCTTTATCACATCATAAATAAGTGTTGATGGTTTTTGGACCAGTTCTGAGTTGACTGGTTCTGAGGGAGATGCTTTTCATTAAGTTCATTAAAGGTAACTTTCAATTATCTTCTAATAACATGTACAACATTAATGTTTGACTTTGGAAAATTTTTCTTTTTGTGTTTCACTTTAACGTCTGATCGTAACTGTATGAACTGATGATTTAAAATGTTTACTTTCAAAGTGTGTCCTTTAATTCTTCTGCTTCAGTTCAGCAGAAAACCTGCAGATTTACTTTAAAAAAATCAAATTACTATTATTGTTTATTTAGTACGATAATAAAACAACTTTTTTCCCTATTCAATACATTAATTAAATGATTAATTTATTGATTGTTCAGTTGCTCCAAACTCAACCCACGATCTTAACGTGGCAGGGTCCTGTCCGTGTTGCTGGACCCTCCGTGCTGCCCTCGTGCTCGTTGATTTTCATGTCAACAAATAAAAACAGCATGAACTCACTCCACACTCCTGTTGGTTTTTTTCACCGGTCTAATTCACTGCATTTTCATTTACATCCAAGTCTGAGTCACATGTTTCACTCTTCATTCCACAAAGTGCATTGATTAGACATCAGTACAGACAGAGGTCAGTGCTGCTGCTGCTGCTGCTGCTGCTCTGCAGTCTGGGACGGGGATCTCACCCAGAGGATGAAGGCGTGACATTTAAATAAAAGAACAGAACACATCTGGAGTGAGCGGTGAGCTATGCTATGCTGCTGTTTTACATTATTTAAAAAGGTCACCGCCGCTCTGTGTTAGAAAACTAGAATCTCTAAACGTAAAACAAGAGAAATATGTTTGAATTTAACAAAAGAAAAAAAAATAATACACCTGCTGCATTTACAAATGTCACTTATTAAAAACAAAGTGTCACCGCGAGGCTTCTCTGCACATTCAATAGACTCGACGAAATACAAAAGTTAAGTCAAATATTGCAGTCAAATGGGGGAGTTAGAGAGGAGAGAGAGAGGGAGGGGGAG